TCTAAATGGGGGGGGGGGTCGGTAGTTTTGACAGGGGGCGCACTTTCAGAGAACCAAGCCCGTAAAATGTGCAGGTAGTTAAGGCGCATAGCGATAAAAGGGTGATGAGAACAGATAGCTTATCAGCTGTCTTACCATGCATTGAACCAGACATCAAACTATTGGTGTCTTGTCTAATTTGTTAATTCAAGGCTCGCGCGTGCATTCGTATGTCAACTTTATTGATTCTTCTACGATGGATCAATAAATACGTTAAACGTTCAAGCCATCTGTCAGTGTCGAGCGCAAGCAGCAGGTTTAAAGTTCCCCCTTGGTATGGTTGACGTCGAGAAGCTCTGGAAAAACTGGTGAGCTTATTGCTAAATTTATTCGCATTGAATACTAGTGACAGTCTTTCTCTTACGTCTCATGACAAGCGTTTATCAGCAGACGATCTAATTACACATAATAGCCCTTATTTTTCCTTAATTTTTTAACACCCCATCAATACAGGGCTTTGGTTTATAGATTTAGTCAATCTAAATTTTAAACCTTAAGTTTAAATGTTTAAATTTTTCTATTTTCCCTTTAGGCATTAAATTATCAACTGAATTTACTGCAAAATAAAATGCAGTTTTATAGTGTCTAGGACGTTAACAAGTTGACCCATTCATCTATTGACCATCGTCGAATAAGCACAAATATCGCCGTATCCTGAGCATGGGTTCGAGAGTTTTCTGCAGAAGTCGCGATTACATTTCATTCCTATGACGCTTTTATGTGATCTCTCCTACTTCGATGAGCCTTAATTGCTCTTTGGATAACTATATGACAGCAGTTTATTCATGCTCCAGTTAAATTGAGGCCTAGGATTGATGGTTGGATTATTTGTTCACTGCTTTTTCTTTATTTTTGCAGTTTACTGGACACTTATGACACTTCAGACGAAACCGAATGCAGCAGCGAGAGCAATGAAGAAGTTAACGCCAGTGACCTTAATGCTCACACCTCAAGTACAAGCGAGACACTCAACAATGCTGGCCTCAGTAAAGTTGATCAAGACATCAATTCCGAAGGCGCGACCGCTTCCATCCCCCGAACGACATCCACCTTGACATCCCTGCTTCCATTGCAGCCACAGCAGAAGAACCAGAACGCGGTTGTTCTCTCACGCGAAGAGGCACTGGTGCGACTGATTGAAAGAACGCGCTATCCTATCATGCAAGAGAACGGGCAGCGCCGTTATGGTCCACCACCTGACTGGGTAGGTCCAGCACCCGCTCGTGGCTGCGAGATCTTCATTGGTAAAATTCCGCGTGATTGTTTTGAGGATGAGTTGGTTCCTGTTTTTGAGAGCGTTGGTAAGGTCTACATGTTCCGCCTCATGATGGATTTCAGTGGATGCAACCGTGGCTACGGTTTCTGCATCTACACTAATCGTGAAGACACTAGGAGGGCTGTCCAGAAACTTGATGCCTATGAGATACGCAAATCAAAAGCTCTTGGTGTATGTTTCTCGGTGGATAATTGTCGTCTGTTCGTCGGTGGAATTCCAAAGACTAAAACGAAGGAGGAGATTTTCTTTGAAATGGCCAAAGTGACTGAAGGAGTGAGAGACGTCATTGTCTACCCCAGTGTAGTGGACAAAACAAGGAATCGAGGATTCGCTTTTGTAGAATATGAAAATCACAAAGCGGCAGCTATGGCTAGAAGAAAGCTTATACCCGGCAGGATACACTTATGGGGACACCAGGTGGCTGTGGATTGGGCTGAACCAGAACGCGAGGTGGATGAGGATGTCATGTCAAAGGTGAACCTTGATCACTATGCTAAAACCAATCAATGTCATACAATGTGATAATTGTGCAAGTCAAAAGGCACCTGTGTTTGTACTGAAGTAGGAACAGTAGGTGAACCAGTTCTATTTCTAACAAGTGATCTGCGTAACATTCCGAAAATTCGGTAGCATAATGATGGGGCATATTAATTAAAATAGTTGTGGAACAGCTTATGCGAGTGGGAGGAAATGTTTCTAGAAATTGCAGTCTGCTTTTTCTCGTGAAAGATGGTGATAAAAATGCACTCCGTCACCTGCGATTCGATATAAGTGCGTTGAGGCATTGACTGCGTAACTTTATTGTTAAAACAGGTTCGAATTCTTTATGTTCGAAATCTGATGCTGCATACCACGGAAGAGACTTTGAGAGATCAATTCAATCTTGCTGCAGGCTTCAAAAACGCCGTTGAAAGAGTCAAGAAGATGAAGGATTACGCCTTCATCCATTTCACTGACCGAACATTTGCTGCGAACGCATTGGCTGTCATGAATGGCACGTTCATATTTTGTTCATTTCCATTATTGAATTATTCATGAGTAAATGACTGCAGCTAGGCCGTACAGCTCAATTTAGTTGCTATTATAGGTACTGTCGTAGTGCTGATGCAAGATTATAGATACATTAAGGTCAAGTGTGTACATGCGTTTAATCGAACGGAGTTCCGCGGATTAGAATCACGTTTGCAACATTTTCACTATGCGCATTATCGAAATCAATTCTTTTTTTGAAGCGGAATTTTCTTTAACTCTATTCAATCACGTTGGCCACGTCTTTTTCATATTGCTAAACTGTGGTTTGTAATTATTAACTCGAAATCCTAAGTAACATGCATTTGTCTCTTATTCTCCCGTTTCTAAAACATTACTTAGGTTACTATCTGGACGGATCGCGGATAGAAGTTAGCTGGGCAAAGCCGGTAGACAAAACGGACAGCCTTCGGGCGGTGCAGCGTGCAACTCTCCAATCAGGAGCGTCTGGTCTCGTACTTGAGCAAACTAATCCCATGAACCTCCTCAGGCCTACTCCTCCCAGTTTAATTCAGAGTCATGATGCCTTCGGTATTAATGGCCTGTCCCTTCAACACCAGCAGCAATTACTACTTGGTGCCCTTATAAGTAGCGCAGACGGAAGACGAGTTTCCACTATTTCTGAAACTGATTCAATGAATGCATTCCGTGACTTGTCTTCTCAGATCTCAGGAGAACGGATCGTCCGTGAAGCACTTGCCATATCGCGCATACTTAACGAACCGAAAGGTGTCAGCTTGGGTCAGCAGCCGACACCTCAAATTCCTGCCAATGCACAGTCCCCTCGTAGACAGCAACCAATTTTAGCTCCTCTTCTTAGCGACTACTTACACCAGCAAAAGTAATTATGGAAACAAAAATTTACAGTTGTGCTTTAAACCCTATAGATATTGCATAAATAGTACGATTTCATGTAGTGTCTAAGTACCAAAATTCCTGAACCAAATGAATATTTGTGGTAGGTGTGCCATTTATATGCAGACGTAATGTAGACTTCAGTGACGGTCTGTTTGTTAATTTTAGGCAAACTGATAAAGATGGGGACAACCTGCAAAGAATTTTGTTTGAAATGAACCCACGGAAAAATTTGGATCACCAGAGGCAACTTTCACACGCCCTAGGGCAAAACTTGATTGGTGTACGTTTCTAAGGTTTGATTGGGTTATGAGTTTGAGTAGTGGGCTGAATTTATTACTTTTTTTTAGCAAAGCTACAACCAGAATGAATTTTTTAATCAAAATTATAACGTCAATAATCACCTTTTCACGCCAAATGCGCTTATATCGAAACCACATACACAACTGCCAATGAATAATGTGTTACAAAATCAACAAGCCATATGGACAGATCCCTTTACAATTCAAAACAGGACACGACAAGTAGAAGGAATTAGCTTGGATTCTCATTTATATCGCTCACAGGGCTTCAATGCAACGGCATCCATTGGGAACATGCAAAATCCAATTACCAGCCTCGAAAACCGATTGAATAAAACATCACTCAATCAATCTTTTGCGAATAGATTCAATCCGGCATCAATTGGCGATACCTTAGGTAGGAAGCTAATGAATCAGATATTACGCATTAATTGAGCCTTTATTCATTTGTTCCAATCTGCTCCTGGTGAATACGTACTTCGCCGTTTAAGATTATTGAGTAATGAATTTTCGACAACAAATTGTGATCTTCAAGTCTGCCCACCGGCACACTAATGGTTCATTGTTCGTGCCTTCGCGCGACAATTAGGCGTGGTGTTTGTAAATTTTCGTTAATATGGCGAATAATCAAATTTTTACGCTCTGCGCTAGAGCGCTCAAATTCTATGTAATTTTATCGCATTACAGGTTCAGATCTATTTGCGAAAAAGGAAAGAACCAGTTATAATTATGATCAGAGTGATCTGACAATTACGTCAGCTCAGTGCTCAAATTTGCAACAGAACGTTGGGTCAAGCAGTCACCCAATTTTCAATGCTCATTTCCCAGTGCAAAGAATGGGCGAGTCACCGACAATTAATTCGCCCCTTTTTACTAACTCACCGATGCAATTAGGTCTGACCGAGAAAATTCGTCGACGTCAAGCTGCAGTACAGCAATTTGCCAAAGGTTTTAACGAATTTCTGATACCCCAAATTGCACAAATTCCCGAAAACTTACAGCTTGATCAAATGAATCCCCCTTCTTCAGTGCCCTTTCCGACAAATCACTTTGACTTTTTGAATGATCAAGAGTATCAAGCGGCTTCTCCTGGATTGTGGGAAGCTATGTCAAGTTCTCCTACCGAAGTGTCCGATTTGAAATTTTCTGTTGATGAATTAATCATGGACGACGAGCAACGATTTCAATTAACCCCTACAAATACGTTAAGCTAAGTGACAATACTCGAGGCCCTTTGTGTTGTGAAAGTATTGTCAATCAGGAGTTAATAGTGAGAAAATTCAACGCATTGAAATGTATGTTTTATGTTGTACTCAATTTTTCTGCCTGATAAATCAGATATTTGTTTTCTTTACACGTTGAGGCCCAATTCAAGCAAACGATGGCAAATTGCCCGCCTCGTTTGACTTAATGATCCCCACATTTGCAAGGAGTCGTAGCAAATACGAGGAAGACATGAAAGCATAATTGGTGCTTGTCGCATACAGGCGTATCCACAATCATCACAAATATTCATTTGTGTTGAGCATAAATCAGGTTCCATCTCGATCAAAGAGCCAAATATCGTCTGTCGTCCAGAAGTTGGGCTGAAAGTCCGGTCACCACAATTCTGGCATGACTCGCGTTCCTTTTGCTGTTAAAAATTGCGCTCCAATTGGATATAACTGTTAAGAATTTGAATACCCATCTTGACACCTGACTTGAGTTTTAAAAATATACAATGATTCCTTCTTATTATAGTTTGTTACTTTCATTTTTCGTAATGTGGTTTCAGGTGACCGAGAAGTTTGGATAGCTTTCACAGTGACTCTACACCGACTTAGTGTAGTGG